AAAAAAACTACTGCGCCATTGACTTTAGACCAGGTTTTAGTTGGTCAATGGAGCGGTCTATTTCAGTTGCCTCAAAATAGCAACACACTAATAATGCGTCTGAACACACCTAATTTTCAGACCAGCATGCCCGTGAGCGCACAAATGGGCGCAAATGCATTTACTATTTAAACAGTGTGGCGCAGGACGTGAAAATGATAACTGCGTCAGTCTAAAACTCGCAAAAAAACACTTGCGTCGCGCCTGACGCCACATTGTGTCAGATAGAGCCCAATAAGTGTCATATGATTCACCAAATCAACTGTTTTAGTAACAGATAAACTCTGTTCCAAAACCTATTGAGTGCCTTCTTTTGGCCAAAATGTAAAGGCTGGGACATACCAAGCCAACTTGGTAAGCCAAGAACTAGTGGCGACGAAAGTCACTTCGCGTCAGCTGTGTCTGGACCAAAAAGCTGTGCTTCAACACACTGCACAGACTACAGCTGACACCAAACTAGCATGTGTGTTTTGAGGAGTTAAATGTCTATTTTAGCAGCTATCAATAGTCTATATTCGTCATTTAAAAAACAAAACAAAAAAAAAACAAGGATATATGAGATAAATATTCAACATGTTGAATCGGGCAAATTGCCCCTCGAGAGCCGACGTGTGGAACACATCGCAAAAACTAGCCTGTCAAATGCTCTCTGATGGCCCTATGTTGGCTGACGGCCGGCTTGGTGTGTCCTGGCCTTAAAAGGCAGAATAAACTCTGAAACCAGCCTGAAATGTTTTACTGGTCTCCCAGAACCCCTGTAGTAACAGAAAACCACACGAGTCTGACCAGGCTAAGCACACCAGCAATGACCTGCAAACTAGCTTAAGCAGTATTTTTTCACCAGGGATACAGTAAAGAAAGACAGAGAAACCTCAGAAAACCAAGATGGAGATGGATAAACAAGCATAGAGTTGTTAGCTTCGCAGCTGTTGAAATCAACTGGGAGTGTTGAGTCTCTTGCACTATTTGTATGGTGCACAAGAGTAACCATTAAGAGAGTTGCTCCTTATGAAGTGTCACTTATGAGGAGAGCCATCTTACTGCATAGTTTAGCTCCAAAACACCTACAGTTACAGTTTCTAGTGATCCTGAAGAGCTTGAAGTGCTTAGTTAGGGTTGGAGCTGAACTCTACTGACTGGTGGTCATCCAGGAGAAGGATTGGACACCCCTGATTTAGTAGTCAGCCGCCTATGAACAACTTACCTTCACACCATCCTTAGCTCCCTCCTGAAGATAAGGAATAATGGATTGGTTCCAGAGATCAATAAACCAGGAGCGAAACTCTGCTAACGTTACTGGACAAGACAGGAAGAAGCAGGGACCTGCAAAGACAAGAGCCATCGCTGAGATCTTTTTGGAAACTTGGTCTGAGCGGTGCTAAAACTAAAGCTGAAGCGTAGAACTCCATAATACAAATATAACCTTTGAAAGGCAGTGCGTGGTTCAGATTCATTTGCTGAAATAAATGGTTAAATATGTTTATTTTCTTTTTTTTTCCTGAAGAGCAATGCATGAAACAGACATTCAGAATGTGTAAAGCTGTACCTATGAGGAAGTCTGAGGTGCTGTGTTTCTCCAGGAAGGTATGGAGATGGTACCAGAGTTTAGGCACCCAGTCCAGAACCCTCAGCACCTCAGCACTGTGAACAGTGCTTTCATCCTCCGCCTCGATCAACTTCCTGTGCAAGTAACGCACTAGGAACCCATTTGCAGGCTCCACGTTGTTGGAGAAGGTGACCATTCTTCAGTCGCAAAAACTAGCCTGTCAAATGCTCTCTGATGGCCCTATGTTGGCTGACGGCCGGCTTGGTGTGTCCTGGCCTTAAAAGGCAGAATAAACTCTGAAACCAGCCTGAAATGTTTTACTGGTCTCCCAGAACCCCTGTAGTAACAGAAAACCACACGAGTCTGACCAGGCTAAGCACACCAGCAATGACCTGCAAACTAGCTTAAGCAGTATTTTTTCACCAGGGATACAGTAAAGAAAGACAGAGAAACCTCAGACAGAAAACCAGGAGATGGATAAACAAGCATAGAGTTGTTAGCTTCGCAGCTGTTGAAATCAACTGGGAGTGTTGAGTCTCTTACACTATTTGTATGGTGCACAAGAGTAACCATTAAGAGAGTTGCTCCTTATGAAGTGTGTTTCAATTCGGTCACTTATGAGGAGAGCCATCTTACTGCATAGTTTAGCTCCAAAACACCTACAGTTACAGTTTCTAGTGATCCTGAAGAGCTTGAAGTGCTTAGTTAGGGTTGGAGCTGAACTCTACTGAATGGTGGTCATCCAGGAGAAGGATTGGACACCCCTGATTTAGTAGTCAGCCGCCTATGAACAACTTACCTTCACACCATCCTTAGCTCCCTCCTGAAGATAAGGAATAATGGATTGGTTCCAGAGGTCAATAAACCAGGAGCGAAACTCTGCTAACGTTACTGGACAAGACAGGAAGAAGCAGGGACCTGCAAAGACAAGAGCCATCGCTGAGATCTTTTTGGAAACTTGGTCTGAGCGGTGCTAAAACTAAAGCTGAAGCGTAGAACTCCATAATACAAATATAACCTTTGAAAGGCAGTGCGTGGTTCAGATTCATTTGCTGAAATAAATGGTTAAATATGTTTATTTTCTTTTTTTTTCCTGAAGAGCAATGCATGAAACAGACATTCAGAATGTGTAAAGCTGTACCTATGAGGAAGTCTGAGGTGCTGTGTTTCTCCAGGAAGGTATGGAGATGGTACCAGAGTTTAGGCACCCAGTCCAGAACCCTCAGCACCTCAGCACTGTGAACAGTGCTTTCATCCTCCGCCTCGATCAACTTCCTGTGCAAGTAACGCACTAGGAACCCATTTGCAGGCTCCACGTTGTTGGAGAAGGTGACCATTCTTCAGACAAACAGAAAATTACAAATGAAGTACAGTTGGAATATTGACATGGGATTTCAAATTTCTTTATGAGGATGATATGATGTTATCTTACCACAATCTACAAACTGGAATGAATTCGTGTTAAAGAGATGAGGAACTTACCTGAAGCTGAGATGCAGGCCATGATTGGATGGCATCTTAACAGACTGATTGGTGGTTCCAATGACATAAGGACTGAAATAAATATCCAAGAAAATACTTCAAAGGAAAGCTTAATTTTGACAATGAATAACTTTTGTAAAAGAGTGAATTTCACAAAGTCTGTCAGGAACACTTCCATGTCATATTTCTCCCCCAAATTATATTTAATAAATATTTCAAATTATATTTTGCAAAAATAAAATTAGAAATGTTTTGTATTTTTTAAGAATTTTTGCTATGTAACATTATTTCCATGAAAATTAAGAATATTTTTCACCACATTCTCATAACTGTAATGCAGAAATAATGATGCATTATTTTAATTAAGTGTTTATTAATTTATGTTAACATTTGTGCAATTTATGCAGGTTTTAATTTAAATATGATTTGTATTATGTACTGTTTCACATTACCGTAGAGAGACCTTGGGCAAAAATGTGCTTAATTGTCATAAAAAAATAAAATAATATAATCTTAATAGTAAAAAGTGAAATTGCTTAATTTTCCCTATGCTACAGCAAAATAATATGCATATTATTTTACCTTAAAATATGATAGTGATATTTTTGAGAGATTCACCAATAACACAATAGTGTTTCCTTAACACAGGAGTTTCCTCACTCACCATTTGTGATATTTGCAGGTCAGTGCACTATTGACCAGGTCAGTGATGGAAGACGCGTCACTGATATCATCCAAGATAATGACCAATGGAATGTCCTCAGCACCACAATCGCGGTCAATCTGATTGGCCAGATTAGACAGGTACAACTGGAGGTCCTGAGAAAGAGAAGAAAAAAAGTGTGGCTTTACAACTGCTGGTCACACCAAACAAGTCAGTGTTTCCTAGGGAAGTGTTATTTCCAGGCTTCACCTTGCAGGTCTGTTGGTGCATGTTGAAGGTGGTGATAAGGCCAGGGCCGGGGTCACGGCCGCTCCTCTCCAGCAGGTACTCAGCCAGTCGGGTGGTGAGGTAGGTCTTTCCCGCGCCGCTGGGGCCCGACAGTACCAGCCGTCGGTGCTTCAGAAGCAGGCTTATGTAGTGTTGCATCATGGGCTTGGGGATAATCGTCTCAAACACCAGACTGTCCACACACTTCTCCTTAAAACCTGGAACGGAGAGTGAGTTCAGGTGAACCAGAGGTCAGTTGCCAGTGCCAGAACAATTCAAAAAGAGGAAGGAGACACATTTAGTAGACAAAATAGAGTAACCAGCCATGACTGTCGACAGTGTCAATGACAAGACATTTTGCCTCTTAACTGGTTTCTGTTTTAGTCACAAAACACTGAGTAGCTCCGCCCACAGTCAAATCCCATTGGTCCACAATCTCGCTCCACTACAATACTAGCATTTGTGATCTCTAGATCTAGATCTCTGCAAAACACACAACAACGACTTGACGCTTGAAGCCTCACATTGTACCTGTGTAGGACGGGGTGTATAAAATGAGGTGTAAGAGAAGTTGCTTAAGAGAGTGAGAGATTGAAAGTGTGAGTTTTTCACCTTTAAGGGTGACAGTGACGAGTCCAGGACCCTTTTTTAAACAGTCACAGGGTGAACTTTCTGGGGCTTCGGCTCCAAGCACCCTCCTGCTCTGATTAATACTGTAACTGTGGATAGAGTCGACAGACAGTCCCATACTCGCACTGGGATCCACCTGCGAAATGTAGTTCTGACGTCCGAATACAAAGAACACGTTAGATTAAATAAATATTATAATTAAATACATGAAATTACATTTATTACATTAAATTACATATCTATCTATCTATCTATCTATCCATCTATCTAATATACTGTATAGTAAAAACACACACATCCACACATATATTTTAATAAAATATCAATTGAAAAATAGCAATTAAATAAAAAAATATATTTAAAACTATTTACAATAAATATAAAATAAAAAAAAATAAAAAAATTAAATAAAGGAAAAAAATACTGAAAATCACCAATTGACTTTTGATAATATGTTTGCCATTAAATATCAACAGCAATGACATGGTGTTATTTGCATAGTAAAACATAATTACATTATTACATTACGTACATCTTTTTGCAAACTAAATTAAGATTTTCCTTGTTTTTGCATATATTTAAACATTTATAGCCATCTTTACACCACAGAATGAGATCTTACCCCAAAAGCTGTGGAGATGTCCGTGTCTAACACAGACCACTCCGTTTTCCCATGAATCCTCACAGAGCCGATGTAGAAATCCTGCTGCCTCACCTGCTGATTGTACATCAGATTGCTTATTTAGTGCATATGATCTAATGTTCATGTATTTAAAGCTATCTCAATTCTGTTTTCACGTGTTCACCTCTCTGGACACTTGCTGGTCAGCTATACGGACCACCACACGCGTTAAGGCCTCGTCTCTCTGAGATGGCAGACTCAGTAACTCCATAGGAGCAACGTCTGTGAGATAGATAGAAAGAATGACTTGACTCCATCAGACAGTGACATATCTAGATTAGTAATGGGATGCAATGCTTGGAGCCACCAAGCTTTCAAGTTTAAAGCAAACAACAGTATCAGATGACACAACTAAAGGAACTCACCAGTGTTGGAGCACTCATTGAGGCTGAGGCTGAAGGACTTGGTGAGGCTCATGGGTGGTTTGGTTTGGCTAGAGTTCAGGAAGCTGGCCAGACCAGACGGCTGGGAGGTGGAAGTAGAAGGTGGGCCGCAAGGGAGGACAAGGGATGATGGAGCACTTCCTGTTTTCAGCTGATCGTTCTCTGCCTTCAGACTGTCCACCATCCTCTACAATGAGAGATTTTATTTGAATTAAGGTTTTCTTTGCAGTGCTTCACATGCAAAGTCATTAACTGCAGTGACATTTGTGAAATTTCACATGCAAAAAAGGTCCATTTTCTATTATGTGTGTGTGCATAATAGAAACAACCCGGACTCCGTTTTAATCATTCTCTGAGACTTTAATAAAGCAAATCTTTCCCGTGAACTGCCAAAATACAGACAGCATGTTACATGTCCCACCAGAGACAGTAATATACTGGATCACTGTTACACCACAATAAAGAATGCATATCACTCTGTCCCACGGGCAGCTTTGGGGCTCTCTGATCACTGTTTGGCTCATCTTATACCGACCTACAGTCAGAAACTGAAATCATCTAAACCTGTATTAAGGACTGTAAAAAGATGGACTAATGAAGCAGAGCGGGATTTACAAGCCTGCTTCGACCTCACTGATTGGAGTGTCTTTGTGAGCTCATCCAGAATCAGTGGCAGTGGCTTCAGAGACTGTAACATCATATATCAGTTTCTGTGAAGACATGTGCATTCCTACCAGGACTCATTTAACCTACAACAACGACAAACCATGGTTCACTGCAAAACTCAGACAGCTCCGTCAGGCCAAAGAAGATGCTCGCAGGAATGGGGACACGCAGGTTTGAAAAAACACCATTCACACCTCTGGCAAACCCCTCTCTCCCCCCCTCCAGCACTCCAGATCAGTGAAGATGATGTGCGTCAGGTCTTCAGAAAGAACAAGAGAAGAAAGGCACCAGGCCCAGAAATCAATACATCCATACAAACAATACATTTACATACAAAATTGTCTATATTGTCTATATTATATATTGTGTTTTTGCTATTTTGTACATTGTCTATTTTGTATATTTGTATATTATTCTTTTTATTATCTATGTCCTGTGTTGTAACTGTCATTCTGTTGCACTGTGGAGCTTCTGTCACTAAAACAAATTCCTCGTATGTGTAAACATACCTGGCAATAAAGCTCATTCTGATTCTGATTCATAATTATTAGGCAAGTCGATATTCTTTAGTATACAACCATTTATAAGTGATATATAATTGTTAACAAGGGCTGGAAATGAAAAACACCTTATTTTCAGATTTATAATTATTAAGCAGGTTTTCTTCTACAAGTAAAATGGGCCAAAAAAGAGATTTATCACACTGAAAAGTCAAAAATGTAATTAAATGCCCATGTGAAGGATGCAATACAATAGAAATAGCTAAATCAAGAGCATTGGACAAGGAATGCTCAGTGCGGCAGCAGGGTCACAAAAAACAGGTTGAGAGGAAAAGATATTAACCTGCAAAAGTTAAATTAAATTTATTAAAAATTGAAAAATTGATTACATTTAAAGTCATAAAATGCCAAAACGTTACTAAACGGGACACTAACATGCATGTTGTTCATGGCTTCTCGTAGCTGCTCCAGCTGATGTGCTGAGCTCAGCGCTTCTAGCCGGATGTCTGTCAGTTTCATCTCTTTCTCCCACAGCTCAGACCGCAGCTCTGACACCATCTTCTCATCACTCTCGTTTTCCTCGTTACTTTCATGGATCCTGTTAGAACACAATGTCATCACTGTTTAAAATGTGGTAACACTTTAAAGCAGTCTAAAGGGTGTAATAGTCCAATTGCTGCTGCATTTCAAAAGTGAAATCGCCCATTTTTGCTTGATCGTCTTCTGATATTGTGATTGGCGCATGAGAACTTTACTCACACAGAGGAAGTGGCTGATTGGCTGGATGGGAGGGAAGTGGGCGGGTTCTCTCCCTCTTCATGACCCAGTTTTGGTGAGTTAGGTGCAGAAGAGTCTGGAGTGGCGATCTCTTCAATATCAGAGTACATAGAGCCATCTTTAGCGCCCTTCTTAATGCTGAACGCCTTGCCAAAAGAACTTCGTAACTACAGAGAAACCGAGAGAAAGACAGAACTTAAAATACACTGAAGTACTTCACAAATACAAGAAGAAATGTTTATTCTGATTTTTTATTCATTTAAAGTTTATTAATTTACACTACTGTTCTAAAGTTCAAATGTAAAATACGTCTTATTTGATCAAAAATATAGTAAAAACAGTAATATTGTGAAATATTATTACAATTTAAAATAACTGTGCTCTATTTTAATATATTTTCAAATGTTATTTATTCCTGTGATGCAAAGCTGAATTACTTCAGTCTTCAGTGTCACATGATCCTTCAGAAATCACTTTAATATGCTGATTTGATGCTCAAGAAACATTTCTTATCAATATTAAAAGTAGAACATTCAAAAAACAGCATTTATTGTAAATGGAAATCTTTTGTAAAATTATTCATGTCTATACTGTCACTTTTGATCAATTTATTGCATCTTTGCGGAATAAAAGTATTAATTTCTATCAAAACAAGTTACTTTGTATGGAGATACTTCAAGAACAAAGGGACAGAAAGAACAGCACAAGAGAAAAGGACAGATGTTTTTTAACAAGGGCACTTGAAACACTCGGGTGGATTGTTGGTGTGGATAGTTATACGTGATGCATTCATTCCTATAAAAGAGCTTACAGCCTTGAACCACAAAAAATAAAACAGGTAAAATACCAAAGAACTGTAACAGATTATTTCAACATGCAAAGTGATCTGTCTCTACGTGCCAGAGTTATTGTGAGTGTTCAGCTGCAGCTTCATTCTTGTTTGTTTTCTTCTTCTTCCGTCATAGCCATATGAGACATACACATGTGTTTCCACATGTTTTGCAGTATTAGTAAAATAGCATTCTAGAGGGAATTAACCAAGAAAGAATGGAGCCCACTGATTGTTACTTACACCACTTTATAAGTTGTTGAAATGCCTGATGCGCTAAAGTAATTAATGCAATTCATGTCATGGCACATTTGCATAATCTTGTGGGTCCCCATCAGTTCTTAGGAGCTGGTTACAGGTGTGAAAAAAACAAGGGTTTTGCACTAAAAATACCATGTGTTAACTAAAGGTCGACCAATATGGATTTTGAATGGCCGATTTGTATATATTGCAGAGTAGGTTGGCCGATATAGCCCTATATGATTTTAAATATGGTAATGATATTGCATTTAAATATTGTAAAACTTTTTTTTTCAAAGAAATGTATATATGTTTTACATAACATTTACTAAAATCTGAAATAATTAAAATATATTTTAATTTGATAAATCTGTAAAATGTAATTTATAAATGTAAATTATAGCATCCTCTGTAGACTTATAGTATTTCATAAAGAAGAAAAAAAAACACACAAAGCAAACTCTGTAACCAACGGTGCATTCAGTAATCTGGTAAGTCATATTTTCTCAAATAAAGACCGAATAAAGGCAATTTCACACACAATACACAGTGAATACAGCATGAATATGCTGTCAAAATAAAAGTACTGCTCTCAACACTGATTGACCAAACAGAAAAAGAAACATAAAGGCTGATGCCATTATGGTGATATATCGGTGCTCTCTGCTTAGTGAATTCACCCCTTAACATTTGTAACACATAAAATTTTACACATATGAAAGTATAAGCAACAGTGACTGTCAGAGGAGCTGCGCCGATGAAAACTTGAGGACACGGAGATTTGCAGAGTGGTTAGAAACAACACATGATGACATGAGAGGATAAACTTACCTCATAGACCATAGAGATTTACAAGAGAAGAAGAATAGGTGAAAACCATGGTTATGCACTAGCAGATAATAACAGTCACTATAATTCCATTTTAGGCTCTTTTTTATGCTTACCCAGTTCTTTTTCTTCTTCTTCTTGGCGTCGTCTTTCAGGCTGCCCACACTGGAGTGGCTGGTAATGCTGTTCAGACTAGAGATGCTCTCGGATGAGTTCTGCCTCCTGATTCGCAACTCTGAAAGAAGGAATAAAGAACATTTGTCTGGTAATATTCATCGTATATTGAGCTAAAACTCCATTTGAGGTGCATGTTTGCGGTCTTCACCTTTGGGGGCCACATCTGGGTTATTGAGTGCCACATGGATGACGGCCTGCGCCTCCATGTTCTTGGTCTTAAGGTTGTCGATTGTTTCTCTAAGGTCCAGTAATTCACTGTCCTATAGAGACAAAAAACCCCAGATGTGTTTAGTCTGTGCTCATCCATTTAAAGCATAAACACTGAAACAGCATTCCCCAAAGCGCTGCTACTGACGGTTTTCCAAACAAATGTAGGTTCACTTCTGCTTTGCGCAATGATTTACTGCCTGCACTTGACCAATGGCATTTACGACAGGCGAAGCCACAGGGACGTCTACAAAAGCTCCTCCAGCTGTGCATCACTGGTACCTCAACATCATTTGCTTTCTCTGAATCACTCAAACAATCTGTAGGGTCACAGTCACTGGAATGAAACAGTGAATCCGGGTCACTGCCTCTAGACCGGCTGCCTCTTTTACAGAGGGCAATGTGGCATGAAAGTCAGCGTTTCATTTCTAAACCCTCCTGCGTTAATTTAGCCAAAGGCAAATCATGAAGTTGAAAATTTGGAGTATGGCACATATAGCGCAGTGACCCTTTTGTGAGTAAATGAAAAGCCAGCAACCCCCAACATCCATTCAGCCCTAATTTGACCCATATTTGCTCTTTCGCTCTCAGTGACTCTGTGAGGTTACACATATTGATCTAAATTTGGGCGGTAAAAGGACAGATGAGGTTTGGGTAGTATGCTTCATACACATGGACCAATCTAAAGAAATTAGAAATACCAAAAAATGGTTTGATTTCTGTTTTTAAACTATGATAACACACTGAAAAAAAAAAACATTTTTACTCAGAAATTACTAAATTTCAAAAATAATGACAAAGAAATGTCAAGTAACATGAAATTAAACAAGAAATTTTGAAGTAGAAAGACAGAAGGAACTATTTTCTTGTAAAACATACTCCAATGACCTTTTGTGTTATTTACAACTTCAAAAAGGTTTGGTTTTGGTGCTCTAGTGTGCTTGCATGAAGTCAGTGGTAGAGAACCTGTATTGCTTTGGCAGATCAAGTATCCTACTCCATCATGAAATGAAATGCTAATGCTGTAACTGTTACCAATAAGCCGTAAATGGTAGAACTGAGATGATTACAGGAGTTTTGGCTTGTTTTAGGGATCGCTTGATCGTACCTTCTGCTCAGCACCGAAGGAGAGGTTCTGGAGTCGAGAGGTCATGAGGGTCAGACTCTGCTCAAACGCTGCCACCAGGTTGGCCTGGGAAAAAAAAAAAAAATCCATTTATTCGCATTACATGTGACTATGATATAATCAAGATAATATTAAATAATAATTGGAATGTTAAAGAAAAATACACACGACTGTTCAAAAGTTTGGTGTGTGTTCGATTTTTTTATGTTTCTGAAAGTCTCTTATGCTCACTAGGGCTGCATTCATTTGATCGAAGTAAAAATGTGATATTGTGAAATATAGAAATATTCTGAAATGTATGTGATGCAAAGCTGAATTTCAGTCTTCAGTGTCACATGATCCTTCAGAAATCATGATTATTATCAATGTTGAGGTTTGCTGCTTAATTGTCTTTGTGGAAACTGACTTTTTTTTTTTTCAGGACTCTTTCATGAATAGAATAACCTTTGAAACAGTGGTTTACATACAAAATAGAATAGAAGTGTCATATGTGTTTGACAGTGTACACTTACATTAGCAGACAGCTGTGAGGTCAGATTGGCCACCTTCTCCTGTGAAGACTCCAGCTCCCTCCTCAGCTTACGGATTTGCTGTGAAGAACCGCACAAAGTTATTAACCAACAAAGAATTCATGACATTAAGCTGCATCAAATCTAAAGGAACAGTTCACCCGGAAATGTGAATTCTGTCATCATTACTCTTCCTCATGGTGTGCCAAACCTGACTTTGTTTGTTGCGAATAAGAGAAGGACATGTTAGGCTGCTCTTTTCCATACAATGATCGCAAATGTCAACTGAGGACCTTCGAGCTCCAGAAAAATGACAAAACAGCACAGTAAAAATATCATAAAAGCACTCCATAGTCCATGTAACACTACTTTTCAAGTCCTCTAAAGTCATATGATAGCTTTATATGAGAAACGGTCGTTAATTGACTGAAAATGTTCTCTAATAAAGCTCTCTAAAGTTCATATGGGCTACTTTTATATTGTCATTTTTGAGCTTGCCATTGAATTTCACTGAATGATTAAAGCAGAACAGAGCAGAAAAAAACTCATTCTGCTGAATGTCTGCTTTTGTGTTCCATGGAAGAAAACAAATCATACAGGATTGTCTGCAGGAGTAAATGATGACAATTTTCATTTTTGGTGAACTATTCCTCTAAACGATCACGTTATTTACTTTGACATAAATCTGAAATGTTTCTCCTAAATTACAGTATTACAGTCAGACTGAACTGTTCAAGCTCCAGGAACTGAAGCTCACTGCAGCTGCTGGAAAACTGTGACAGATGATATTTAACACTCCCAATAGCAACTGTGTCTGTTTATATTTTCTCTATTTGGAACAGGCTGATAAACTCTATATATGCAACTGAAGACAACAGAAAAACAAATGGTGAGTATGTTCACATACTATGATGCACGGCAGACCAGAACGACACACACGATGAGTAAAATCAGACTCACTTCAAGCCTTCAGGCTTGGAATGCAAAACTTCAGGTACATCTCTTAGAGATTTTTGGAAGTAACTCGGTGAGACACCTTCGTTTTGCATCCATAGATCAAGTAGACAGACTCATGAAACAACGAAAGCCTATTCCCACCAGGATATGAAACAACAGCACCACAACCACGATATACTAAAACTAGACAATGCAATGTGCCAAGTCTAAAAAATCATACTGCAGTGATACTTTTTTTTTTTTTCATTTGAAAGGATTATTTTATTTTATTTTTTTAATTGTTTGGATACTGTTTTTTATACTTATTTATAAATGAATTTAAACTGAGTAATTCAATAAAATTATATACTTATATTTTCTTAATTGTTTGGATGCTAAAGATATTTTCTTAATTGTTTGGATGCTAAAGATTTTTTTTAATTAATATAAATTATAGATATCCAGGTTTCATATAAAATGACAAACTTAGCTATTTACAATTTTAAACCGGATTTTTTATTCTGAATCAAGGTAATTTTCTTAATTGTTTGGATGCTGTTTTATTCATATAAATGAAAGATAGCCAAGTTCCATATAAAATGACAAAAATGTGGCAATTTATTGCTATTTACAATTTTAATTCACCAATTAAATAAAATGATATTTTTTATTCTGAAGCAAGGTAATTTCCTTAATTGTTTATGCTGAATAAAATGTTTGGTCTTCATTTAGATATCAAAGTATTTCTCATAAAAAAGCCTTGAAAAAAATCAACGTCAAGAGTACAAATATTTGAATTACTAAATTATTTTGAATTATATAATATTTTATTTCTTATTCTATTTTTTTATTTGGTGTTTGTTTTATCCCATCTGATGTGAATAGGCCTTTATAGTTACAAAACACAGAACATGGAGGAAATTATAAATAACAACATGTGACACGTGGTTAGCTACTCGTTTCCTTAAGTCATGATTGAATGAAACATTAACTTGACAAAAACACAGCAGAGGAATCCCATAACAGCCTTCTGGACAGCTAATGGCAGTTAAAGGCTTTGAATCAATGTGTTAGTTCATCAGCTCCTAACATTAGCTGACTTGAGCTGTTATAAATTCTGAGAACATGTATGACAAAAACAGGTTATTAATATGACTGTAATTAACTCCTGAATGACAGAGAGGGAAAATCAGAGAGAGAGAGAGACACTCACCTCACCCTGTATTCTCTCCTCCGCCTGAGAGAAGCACGGAAGAAAAGAACGACAGATAGATAGTAAGATGCTAAAGAAATGGAAGTTCATAGTGATGAAAAACAGAAATACAAATGAAAAAGATCTAAGACAGGGCTGCATGATTTGGTCAAATTATTTTGACAAATACTGTGCTTTTGAATGGCAACATAATAACGATTTAAAGCACTCACAGTGCTTTGATGTCAAAGCTAAATAAATAAATAAACATAAGTGTGTTCACACTTGTTCTTTTTAAAGGAACTAAATTGAGACCACTTTCAGCTGACTTGAAAATCTGTGAAAAAATTATATTAGGGTGCGTTCACACTTGGCATGTTTGGTTCGATTAAAACGAACCCTGGTGCGATTGCTCTGTTAGTGCGGTTCGTTTGAGTAAGTGTGAACGCTGCCATCCGAACCCTGGTGCGCACCAAACAAGCGGACCGAGACCGCTGAAAAGATGGGTCTCGGTCCGCTTCCAAATGAACTCTGGTAAGGTTCGAATCAAATATGAACGCAACACGGACCAAATACTTCTAAACGAACCAAAAACAGGAAGTAATGACAAGATGCGACATGATTTGACGACGCTGTTTAACCAAAACAAAATGAGCAGAGGGCAAACGTGGAGCAAGTGCCTTTTATGAGCTTCTTGTGAGTTTGCAGGTGGAGAAAATTAAATTATATGTACACGCAAGAATGAGAGCGCTTAGTCCAGCAGACGGCATTAGGTGTGTTCGACTTAAAGCGGCGCTGAGCAGACCGATCGGTTAATGGGTGCTTTGATATCATACACCCGCAGCGCTGCTTTAAGTCTAACGCACCTTTTGTTTGGGGTGTTCGGTAAGTTCTGGATTTTAAAATAGACTTGATTTTAATTTAATAAATTTTGCAGCCCTAGATAGTAATGACATTAAATGTGTTTTTAATAAATCATTGCTAAATTGTTTCATTATTTACATGCCATATGGGTTAACAGCTGTGTATGTACTTATGAGTGAATCAGTGAATGAAATACATATTTGACACATTTTTATTTTTAAATATCGTTGTTTATACTGTGCGGTGAGAATCTGTTTTTTTTGTACAAAAACAGGTCTGTTCTTTATCCAGGCTATAGCTCACATCAGCACCCAGTCATGTGCAGCAGTTCAAGTAACAGCTCCATTTTCAGTAAGGAAAGCAGAGAACGCTTCTTCTAGTCTCCCTGCTGTGAGGCTCCAATAAATCAGCAGGAGCAGACGGGCAGTTTCACTCGTGACAGTCTAGCGCCGTATGGCACGTGTGTGAAGCTCTGGAGGGAAGGAAAGTGCTGGGATACTTACTGAGGAGTAGCTGGAGGAGGCATTAGACGCCAGTGAGAGCACTGAGCCATGAACTGCAGGTGGAAAAAGAGAGAAATACACACAAGTGTGAGTTTAAAAGCATTAAAATACCTAAATCCTACGATGCAGCAAATTCAGATTATTTATCGTACATATCCTGCGTTGTGTTTTACCATTTGTTGAGTCACATTTAGTTTACAGAGCTATGTTTCAGCACAAAAATAGTTAGAGAGTCATTTTTGCAGACATTTTGATTCAAAGGCGACGATAGTAATATTTTGTCCATTTTGGGATTCTTGCAACCTTTGCCAGTCCAGATATTTCATCTGTACGCCTCATGTAGACTGTACCATATGAACCCAGAGTCTCACCGTCATCGCAGGCTTCTCTGTCTCTGAAGGAGCCGGATCGGATCATGCTCTTGGGTCGCTCGGCGAGCGATAGGGTGCTGCCCAGAGGAGAGCCCTGATACAGCTCAAAACTGGCCTCGTGAGTGGGGATGCTGTTGGATCTGGTCATTCTTGGCGTTCCTGAGGTGGGGCTGGGTGCTACTGCACATAACAGACAGCAGAGAGAGACAGAGGTTATATATGATATAAAGCACAGTAACATTAGATAAAGGTGCCCTGCATACTGCCTGTAAAATCAATTAATGTAAATGCAATTTTACAAAAACTTTTTTTCCCCAGAATTTATTGTTAGAAACAAAAAATAGCCATTTATTCTGTTTCTGAAATATATTTCCAATTATGATAGTTGAATGTTCTAAATGTTAATCAATGCTGTCTTTAAAATATACTGTATATTCTTTAGAATAATTTTTGGTCAAAGAGAGTGTAAATAACTGCAAGAAATGTTTAAAGAAACCATATTTTTACAGCGATCAAAATAATAATACTTTATCTGTGTATGAGTGTATGTGTTTGTGTAATATATGTTAATTATATATTTAATTTTTATTTCAAAAATATTTCAAGTATTTTATTAAAAAATATTTTTTGTTTTAAATAAAAAAAATTCTCAATTCTTTTCAACTCAAATGTATATTTTACATTTCTAAAAACACTTTTAATTATAAAATATTTACAAGTATTTTATAAAAAATAATTTTAAATTTTATATATATATATATATATATATATTTTTTAAACGATCAAACTCCAAGATATTAACAATAAATTCTCCATCTTAAGAATGTTCCAGAAAGCCTCTGAAGTGTTCAGTCACTTACTGATGCTCGTCAGTGGTGCTTTTCCTGTCAGTATGGGTGAAGGGAACTGCGGCGGACTGTTGGTCTCAGTCAGGCTTACTATAGTGTGCGAGTGACGTCTCTCTTTACTGTCCTCCTCAGCCTGCGAGGAGATGTGCTGGCTGATGGGACATGAGGGTGTGACGTTACTTCATGGATTTACTACATCAAACCATTTGCCCCATCAAGAGGAGCACCATCATGAAAGTTAAATGATAAGTACCTTAAGCCTTTCTTTGGGAGAGTATTTCTGTCCCTTTGTGAGCTGAAAGAAAAAAAAATGAATGAGAAAGTGAGAAATAGAGCATTATTCTAATGCTTATGCATGGAAATGAAGAGATCAGACTCCACAAATAGACCACAGTAATTTGTAAAGCAAAATGAGCAATTAGTAGTTCAGTCAGAGAGATATAATCACAGTGTTAACATAATAGGCCATTTTTGGGTGGATGTGGCATGTGCTGTAATGTGGCCCTCTGGAAGAGGATCGAGAAGCCCTTAATGCTAAATATTAAACTTTAGTGTGTAAGGTAAGAATGACTTTGATTGATAACCACTGAGTGGAGGTGTGCTGTTACTTTTATAAGTGATCTGACATATGACTCTTGCTTGGTAGACAACAAAACAGATGGAAAAAAACGCATAGATTTACATTTAAAAGTGCAGTCTATAATATTGACAGCTAGCGGTTGAAAATTCAAAACACTGGAGAGAGTTGTTCCTCCTCAGACTCGACGCTCATGCGGGTTGCCAGATTGAGGACACGCAACAGGAATGGGCGCAAATGACAATGGAAGATGACAAGCCTTAATACTATAATACTACAAGACCGTTTTAATATGCCTCTGGTCATAGAGCTTTTTAGATGGGTGCCGAGGCTTTTTAGGTCGGGCAGAATCTGCATGTCTGACCCAGTTTGTTTGCTGGTTTCCATGGCTGCAATACGCTGCGTTTTCCAACAACTGGCAACCAGGGGTGTCGGAATACTATTGGGTAAACAGGCAGTGGGCGGAGTCACACAGACCAAAACAAAAACAGACATTCCGACACGGAACACACATTTCAAAGCAGAATAACTGGCTGTAGCATTGTTTTTTGGACAAACACGTAAGTGAAATATCTGCAAACATATGGTATTTTATGCTTCAATACAGTCAAAAAATTACATACAAGACCTTTACAGAGATGTGAGTAACACCTGCTAATAGTGACCTAGCAACTACAAGACAAGAATGTTGGTAACCAAACAGTTGGTGGTTGCCACTGACTTCAATAGTATTTTCCCCCTACTATTTAAGTCAATGGCTGCTGTTTGGTTACCAACATTCTTCAAAATATCTTCGTTTGTGTTCAACAGAAGCTCAGCTGCTGTTTCCAACGTCTAAATGATGACTAACCCCTCCAATCATAATGCTGCAGTGCTGTGAAACAATAAATGATGCTAGAGAAACAGCAGAAAGCATCTGAATGTAAACAGACCTCTGAAAGAACGAGAGCGGTTTACAGGCAGAGAAACAGCACTGTGAAGAACGACTCCTCTGGACACACAGATGCAATTCTGTGCAACGGATATAGCAGAGTCTTCATCAATAAGAAACGAATAAAGAGAGCTATAGATCAGAGCTCTGATGGAGGGAGATGAGCTGCTGAATTGAAACATTAATAAAGTCAATGTCAATTAAACAAATGAGAGATTTCCTGGCTCATGACCCTCATTAGCCTTCAGCTCTGCGGTGGCCTGCACAGAAATAATGAGCAAGATTAAGCCTGTGAGCTATTGTCCGGTTTTAAACTGACTAAGCAACCGTTAACAAAATTTGGTGGTGGTTTTTATAAAGGAAGCCACATAAAAACAGAGAGGCCATGTGTGGCAAAGAGCGGCATGAACCTTGTGGTGAAAATAACCTCGAATAACAGGAAGAGTGAGCTGCTTTTAGATGTTTCCACTGGCACACCCAGTGATGAGCTGCTGCTTTCAACATGACACAGAATATATTAGTTTTGGTCATTTATGTGGGATGGCTGCTGTTTTAGGCCAGAGACAGGAAATGACCACGGTTACAGATTTTTTTTTTTTTTTTT